GACATGTGGATATGGAGATGGCAAGGGAAACACATAGTCAGGCATCAGCAATGTTTTATCGTCTTCTGACCCTTGTACAAAACACAGCACATGATTGCAGCCGACATGTTCATCGCGGTAACCAGAACCACTTCAAAGTGATCACGTCCCTCCCCCGCCCCACACACACGCACACACACCCAAGACACGCATGCACCCCCCCCCCCCCTCCCCTCCCCTCATCCACACACACACACACACACCACACACACACACACACACACACCACACACACACACACACACACACACACACACACACACACACACACACACACACACACACACAAGCACACACACACACACACACACACACACACACACACACACACAGTGCATGTGTCAAAGCAGCCATGTGCCTCTCAGCACCTCTCAACTTCTTTTGTCTCAGAATACACGTGAGAGTGGCGCTAAAAGAAGATATAGTCATGCGCAAGAAACCAAGAGGATCAAGCGAAGGACGGGAGGGGCAAAATAATCCAAGAGAACCCAGGGAAATGGGGGGGGGCAAAAGAATCCAAGAGAACCCAGAGAAATAGGGGGGGGGGCAAAAGAATCCAAGAGAACCCAGAGAAATAGGGGGGGGGGGCAAGAGAATCCAAGAGAACCCAGGGAAATAGGGGGGGGGGCAAAGAATCCAAGAGAACCCAGAGAAATAGGGGGGGGGGCAAAAGAATCCAAGAGAACCCAGAGAAATAGGGGGGGGGGGGCAAAAGAATCCAAGAGAACCCAGGGAAATAGGGGGGGGGGCAAAAGAATCCAAGAGAACCCAGAGAAATAGGGGGGGGGGGGCAAAAGAATCCAAGAGAACCCAGAGAAATAGGGGGGGGGGCAAAATAATCCAAGAGAACCCAGAGAATTAGGGGGGGGGGACAAAATAATCCAAGAGAATCCAGGGAAATAGGGGGGGGGGGGACAAAATAATCCAAGAGAACCCAGGGAAATAGGGGGGGGGGGGACAAAATAATCCAAGAGAACCCAGGGAAATAGGGGGGGGGGGGGGAAATAATCCAAGAGAACCCAGGGAAATAGGGGGGGGGGGGGGAGAAAATAATCCAAGAGAACCCAGGGAAATAGGGGGGAGGGGACAAAATAATCCAAGAGAACCCAGAGAACACACAGAATCGCGACAAAGCCGAGATTATTGGAAGCTACTTTGCTGAAAATGCAGTCTAGAGACTGACTTCAGTGATGTTGCTACCGCCTTTCCCGATGTCAAGCAGCGTTCACTACACAGAATAACAACAGTGCACTTTCGCCAATCTACTGTGAGGCGTGTGCTTAAAGCCATCAACCCGTCAAAAGCAACTGGCCCTGACTCTGTCCCCTCTCGGGTGCTTAAGATTTGTGCAGATTCTCTTGCACGCCCGCTCGTTCATCTGTTCTCTCTCTGCTTCCGACAAGGCCACCAGCCATCTGCCTGGAAGGTGGCAAACGTTGTCCCGGTCCACAAGAAGGGCTCAAGATCGTGTGTGAAGAATTACCGTCCAATATCCCTTCTCTCCATTATCTCCAAATGTATGGAAACCATAATCAACCGGAGCATCACAAACTTTCTCGACAGCAACTCTATTCTCTCTGCTCGCCAATTTGGCTTCCGCTCTGGACTTGGCGCAACCGACCTCCTCCTAGCTCTTCAACACGAATGGAGCCGAGTTGCCAACAGTGGAGGACTTGTGCGCGTCCTGGCAGTGGATATTGCAGGGGCGTTCGACAAAGTGTCGCACCCGGGTGTCCTGTATAAAGCTGAGCGGTATGGGCTCCAGGGACATCTTCTCGCCTGGCTCAGAAGCTACCTCACCAACCGCATGCTCCAGGCTGTAGTGAGCGGACAGTCCTCCTCTGCTTACCCCATCATGTCAGGCGTCCCCCAGGGTAGCATCTTGGGCCCGACTTTATTCCTTCTCTATACGAATGATGCTGAGGATCATCTACCTGCTGGGGCCCAGCTTGCTGCATATGCTGATGACACCACGTTGTACAAGTGCATATCGACCAATACTGCCGTACCCGAAGATGTTACCACACTCCAGCTTGCTGTAAATGCGCTGGCAGACTGGGGAATGGCCTGGCACATGAGGTTTGAACCTACAAAGTCTCAGTCTCTCCTGATTTCTCACCATCGCAACACAGTCGTCGTCCCACCGATTGTATTCCAGGGCACAGTTGTTCCGGAAGTCGACCAGCTGAAGCTGCTGGGTGTGCTGTTTGACCAACACCTGTCCTTCACAGCTCATATCAGGCAATTGGCTATTCGAGGCTCGCAGCGTCTCGGCTTCCTCCGGAAAGCCTCGCGAGTGCTGGACTCCAGGTGCCGTGGAGTGATCTACAAGGGCTTTGTCCGCCCTGTTTTGGAGTACGGCATGCTCGTGTGGATGAGTGCTGCACCCACCACTCTGGCTCGCCTCACTGCCATCCAACGCCGTGGCCTTCACCTAATCGGTGACGGAGCCTACCTCCCTAGCTTGGACATCCGCAGAATGGTCGGAGCACTCTGCTTTCTGTACAAGCTCCACTTTTCAACTGGCCCAGACATGCTTCTCACCCTTCTTCCACCCCGAGCGACCAACACATCACGCCATAGCCGACGCACACAAAAGCATCCCTCACACCAGTTTCAGCTCACTTCCACTCTTCCGCCCAGAGCACGGAATGATGTCCTTCGGTTCTTCCCTGACGCTGTTGTGGAGGTCTGGAACCAGCTCCCGCAGTGCGTTCTGCTGAACCAGCCAACAAGGAAAGGACTGCAGACGTTCAAAGAAAAGGTCAACGCCCACCTGCGCCTTACCCGCTGGGAGTGGGCAACGGACAGGCTATGAATCAAAGAAAATAGACGAAAAAAGCTCTAACTCTGTTCCCTCCTCCATTCACTTCGTTGACTCTCTGATAACTTTTTATTGTGCATACTTTTCCCCGTAATCCCCAGTTATCTACCCCCCCCCCCCTGCGTATTTTCTGTAATCTTTTGTTTTTGTGGAGCGCTTGGGTTGCAATGAAGCCGAGACCCTATGGTCGGTCAAGCTGCCCCTGCCTCTCCCCCACTCCTGCCATTCCATATGTCTCATCGCTGCCTTGCTTCTTTGTGCCATCAAATGGTGTGTGGTTTTTTGTAAAGAAAAAAAATAGGGGGGGGGGGGACAAAATAATCCAAGAGAACCCAGGGAAATAGGGGGGGGGGGGGGACAAAATAATCCAAGGCAACCCAGGACAGAGAGGGTGGTGGTAACGAATGCAAGGGAACCAAGGGCAAGGGGAGGGGGGGGGGGGAGATAAATCAAGAGTTCTCTGTCCACCCTGCACTCCACTTGTTGCGCACACATGCGCACACATCCGCACACACTCACTCATACGCGTACATCACTACCAGGAGTATATAACCCCTCAGGAGTGTGCAACTCTGCATGTCGGGTCTCCGACGGCAAAAAAAGCTTGTCCCAGGTACGTTTTGTACTACGTACAAACGAAGGATAGAGTGTGCGCACCACGCAGTCCGAATATCTGCTATGATCATGGGCTTTGCATACGCGCAGTGAGTTTCCGTCAGAGAGTGCTTTTTTTATTACTCCGCTGCTCACTAAAAACGGGATGGAAACGTACAACTGGGACACTACACCACGTGATGTGAGTTTTCGCCGTCGGCGAACCCCATAGAAAGGGTGTCAGGAGTTGCACACTCTCGGGGGCTTATGTACTCTGGCCGCTACTGAACACGTCAACATTGCCAGTGCGGGCCACCACAGCACAAAAGAGGTGTGTGTGTGTGGGGGGGGGGGGGGGGGGGGCAGGGGGAGGCAAGAGAACCCAAGTGGACCCAGAGCAAACTGAACAAAACCTCACAGGTGCACGTGTCGCCGTAAAAGTGTCTTTCACACTCGCAACTGTATCCGCTGGCGGTATTGACACATTTCCCATTCTTAGTGCACATATGGGTACCATCACTACACTCGTCAACATCTGTACAACAATAAGAACACACAACACACAACACACAACGACAACGACAACAACGACAACAACGACAACAACGACAACAACGACAACAACAACAACAACGACAACAACGACAACAACAACGACAACAACGACAACGACAACGACAACAACAACAACAACAACAACAACAACAACAACAACAACAACAACAACAACGTGAGAATAAAGATTTGAAACAACAGCAACAGCAACACAGCCCCACCCACAGCATCTCACCTTCTCATAAACTGATCTCTTATTGGCGATGGTGCCATCGTGAGAATAAAGAATTCAACATCAATAATTGCAGGTAGGAAGTGATGTCCAGAAAAGACAGAAAAGTGCTCTGCAAACCTCACCAGAGCAGACTGGGTTACCGACTGTTCCAGAACAGCTTCCAGCACCGCCAGGGCATACCAAGCGAGAGCTGACCGAGGTGCACGGGGCATTACAAGATCCTATCTTATCTGGATACACACACACACACAATAAACACACACACACACACAAACACACACACACACATACACACACACGCACACATATGTACACACATGTGTTCATGCATGCATGCATGTGCATGCACACACACGCTCGCGCGCACACACACACACGCTCGCGCGCACACACACACACACGCTCGCGCGCACACACAAACACACAAAAACACCCACACATTGCTTAGAAAGTTAGAAAGCATGCACATGTGAGTAGAAATGGGGAGAACGATTATTGCCAGTAATGGAGCAAAAGACAGTTGCACTACCATTTTCCAGCCTGTGGCTGTTGCATGACCATCAATTCATCCCCAACAAAGCTCTTTCAACTATTTTTTTGTGGAAATTTCTTGAAATGTGTCCGGTGGAAGACACATCCCAGCTTAGATTTTCTTGAGAGAAAGAGAGAGAGAGAGAGAGAGAGAGAGAGAGAGAGAGAGAGAGAGAGAGAGAGATAGAGAGAGATAGAGAGAGATAGAGAGATAAGTAAGTTGAGAGAGAGAGAGAGAGAGAGAGAGAGAGAGAGAGAGAGAGAGAGAGATAGAGAGAGAGAGAGATAGATAGATAGAGAGAGACACACACACACAGAAAGAAAGAAAGAGAGAGAGAGAGAGACATCAGGACAGGAAAAGCGCCTCAACAGCCCGTACTTTGTTTAATGAAATCATTCAGGCCCTTCCCAACGGATATTTTTTCATTCTTGATCAGGGATGCGATGGAGCAGAGGCGGTTATTCCTGTTGAGATCATTGGATTGAAGCAATCTGCCAAGAGCCACACCAACACACAACACAAAATACAGACAACTCAAAACTCATCACAATATGAACTGTAGAAATCATCGACAGCAGCCCTGGCAAGTGCCATTGTGCATACATGTACATCAGCAACAACTGCTTCGGTCACCCGGTGACTAATTATGATCCCCCAGTGACCAATCATGATCCCCCAGTGACCAATCATGATCCTTAAATGATGATCGTCATATCACCGTCCTGTGAATGCATTGCGAGAGTTGGCAATCTCGGAGGGCCGGCTGTGAGGTTTTGGAGATGATGGTGGGCAGGACAGTGCCCTTGTATTTTCCTGGTTTTTTCTTCTTTCTTTTTTTTCTCGTTTTTTGCGTTTCTTTTCACACATACAATTGTTTTCATTTTTTGGTGTTGTGTTCTAATCATTCGCCATGCCACTGTCAATTGTATTCTGTTTGCCCGTAAAAGAGGACTTATCACCTAAAAGATGATTAATCATGATCCTCCAGTGACTAATCATGATCCTCAAAAGACTAATCATGATCCCTGAAATGACTTATCATGATCCTCCAATGACTAATCATGATCATCCAATGACTAATCATGAACTTCCAATGACTAATCATGGTCCTCCGATGACTAATCATGATCCCGATAATTAATCAAACTTTCAGTGTCATTCCCTTGTCAGATTCTATCTACTTCTCCAATGCGGATTGTTCAAAAGGAAACAAAGACGAAAAAAGACGATAATTTCACTGAACACTCCAGATTTGTGTATCCAGAATACCTAGAAGAAAACTCACGCCGTCTCGAGCTCAGGAAGGTTGTCGAATGTTCCAGGTAGAATGGTTGCCAATGCGTTCTGCTCCAGGTCACTGTAGATACATACACATATACATGTATTTGCACATACACATGCACATGCACATACACATACACACACATGCACATGCACATACACACACACATGCACATGCACATACACACACACATGCACATACACATAGCAGTTACACATACACATATAGCGTAAAGTACCGCCACAGCGCCCCGGCTCGCGAGAGCGCCCCACCTTGAATTTACAGCCAGAGAAAGGAAAATCGTATGGCAGAGTGCAACGAAGTGTGTACAATGTGACAATCTTAGTGTACTAAGGTCACACTTGGCAGGTTTTTGTGTGGAGCTTGTGTCCGCTTGAAGGTGCGGATTGACTGCAAAACGTGCAATATGTGTACAAGGTTCAGGTCGTATGACCTACAGACAGCAGACCACCTCCACAATACGACCACGAAAGGATGAGATGGTGGGGCGCTCTGGCGGTACTTTACGGTACATGTATTTGCACATACACATACACATACACATACACATACACATAGCAGTTACACATACACATACACATACACACATGCACTTGCACATACACATACACTTACACATGAACTCAAGCCTAATTCACATTTGACAGAACGCTGACGGTACGGGACGTAAGAGCCTGTCGGGAAGGCTGGGTGAGCTGTAAAATCGTGTACGATTTGTATGACACGACATGCTGCAGTCGTTGCATCGTTCAACAGCGAACGGCGACAGTCATAAGGCACGGTCCGTGACAGAGTGACTTTCGGACCAAATTTCTTGTTTTTGCGACTTCTTTTCAATTATCTCTCCTTGAATGAAGCGGAATCAAGTTCACAATACCAGTTTTTTATGAACACCAAAAAAAGTAGCTTTGAAAGGTGTGCCATTCAAATAATAGCTCCAGGAAATGATAAAACAGTTCGTCTGTCACGCTCCTGAACTATCCCTAAACACTATAAGTGACATCAGACCTTATCTTGCTAAACTTCAACTCAAATCGTGTTAGCCATTCTGCTAGTTATCATGGGAAGCGCAGTGTTCGAAATGCTAAAAATTTCCAAGTACGAATCGGGAGCAGTCGGCGCACGACACCGTCTCCTGTTCACACTCAAAATGCAGCTGTTTTGTACGCTTGCGTCCCCGTCTACGCCCGTCTACGGTATGAAAAGTTGGATCGATCCAACTCTTCCCGTCGCTTCCCGATCCGTACGGCAGTACGGTTGCGTTCCCCTTCCGGGCGTTCACATTGGACGCAGTCAGACTGTCCCGTCGCTTCCCGTCGATCCTTACGTCATGTCCCGTCGCGCCCCGTCGAATGTGAACTAGGCTATACACAATCATGCAGATACACGTGTAAATACACATGTGCATACAAATGCAT